AATATATATATATATATAAAATACATAATGTATAATTTTCTATTCATGTATCTATTTGTTAATGATTTGGATGAATTTTTTTTTAATCTCTTGTTTAGTGTCAAACCAGAAGAAATTCAACAAAAATTTATATGTGGATTTCCTTCTTAAAAGAAGAAAAAGTGATTATTGAGGCTATGGATCGGAGCAAACGGAATTCAATTGCAGGATTTCCTCCACGTGTGGAGCGTCTGGAAGAGTTTGAAGGAGGCGGTGGAGGGGATGGGAATATCACCCAGATGGGAAGAGTTTGGCCATCTTCATATCGAGCTCTTATAAGTGCCTTTTCCAGACTGACACGTTTGGATGATTTCACTTGTGAAAAAATAGGTTCTGGCTTCTTCTCTGAAGTATTCAAGGTGAGTGATACCTCAGTTTTTCTCATGTTGTTTTGCTAAGTTGCTCGCTCTATTTAATTAGGACAGATGCTTTGCCTAGTCAGGGTACTGTGGATTTTGAACACTGTTCTAAACTTTCCTCTCAAACATTTATTAACTTGTAGGATATTTTGTTTTAATTCTAAAATGTGTGCTGATCAAAAATTAAAATAATATAGGAGCCTCTTCCACCCCCCATTTGCCCTTATTCACAGGTGTGTGTGTGTGTGTGTGTGTGTGTGTGTGTGTGTACAAGGGGGGACCCACAAAACCCCAGAATTTATTTATTAAAAAAATTGTGTAGTTATTCTTTTTTTTTTTGAGTTGGAGTCTCACTCTGTCGCCCAAACTGGAGTGCAGTGGGCGCTCCCAGCCACCACAGCCTCGACCTCCTGGGCTCTGGTGATCCTTCTGCCTCAGCCTTCCAAGTAGCCAGAATTATAGGCATGCGCTACCACGCCCGGCTGATTTTTTGATTTATTGTAGAGATGAGGTCTCGCCTGCCCAGGCGGGTCTCGAACCCGCGGGCTCAGGCAATCCACTCACCTCAGCCTCCCAAAGGCGCGGGATAACAGGCTGAGCCACCGAGCCCGGCTGTATAGTTATTCTTATGTGTTTAAACTTCAGTCACCTTCAAAAAACTCTCTGTTTGATGCAGTACACGTGTTGAGATGCTTTTTCCACTGCTCAAAACACTTTTGAGGCTGGGCTTGGTGGCTCAGCCTGTAATCCCAGCACTTTGGGAGGCCAAGGGGAGTGAATTGCCTGAGCCGGTAGGTTCAAGACCAGCCTGGGCAACTTGACAAGACCTCATCTCTGCAATAAATAAAAACTTAGCTGGGCGTGGTAGCACTTGCCTATAGTTCCCACTATTTGGAAGGCTGAGGTGGATTGCTGGAGCCCAGCAGGTTGATGCTGGTTGTGACCGTGGGTGTGTCATTGCATTTCAGCCTGGGCAATGGAGTCAGACGCCAACTCAAAAAACAAAAACAAAAAAAACCCCCACTTTTTTAACTCATCAGTTTTGATACCTTTTAGGCTTTCCCCTTTTTTGTTTTACCTCTTCTACATTGGCAAAATATTTCCCTTTGAGGACTTTTTTCATCTGAGGAAACAAAAAAAAGTTGTTTGGAGTGAGATCAGGTGAATAGGGAGGGTGGGGCACCACAGAGGTTGTGCCGTTTTTTTTTTTTGGTCAAAAACTGCTGAACACTCAGTGTAGTGGGGGCAGATGCACACCTAAACCACCCATCATGAAATGGGCAAACATATTGAAAGACTTTCCAAGCCGGGCAACTTGACGAGACCTCCTCTTTATGATAAATAAAAGAAATAGTCCAGGCGCAGTGGCTCAAGCTTGTAATCTCAGTGCTTTGGGAGACCAAGGTGAGAGGATTGCCTGAGCTCAGGGGTTCAAGACCAGCCTGGGCAACTTGGTGAGACCTTGTCTCTACAATAAATCAAAAAATAAGCTGGGCGTGATAGCACGTGCCTGTAGTTCTAGCTATTTGGAAGGCAGAGACAGAAGGATCATCTGAGCCCAGCAGGTTGAAGCTGCAGTGGCCGTGAGCGTGCCATTGCACTCCAGCTTGGGCGACAGAGTGAGACTCGCAACTCAAAAAATTGAGCCCTAAAACTCCTAAATAATAATATTCCCCTTCCCCTAGTTCATTCACACTGCCAGGAGATTATTTCATACCTTTATTTTTCTCTCATCAAATCTAAGTATTTCTTCTCTAGTCCCCATTGTCAGTAATTAATGAACTACTTCTTCTTCTTTTTTTTTTTTTTTGAGTTGTAGTTTCACTCTGTTGCCTAGGCTGGAGTGCAGTGGCATGCTCACAGCCACTGCAGCCTAGACCTGCTGGGCTCAGGCAATCCTTCCACCTCAGCCTTCCAAGTAGATGGAACTGTAGGTGAGTGCTACCATGCCCAGCTTATTTTTTGATTTATTGTAGAGACAAGGTCTTACCAAGTTGCCCAGGTTGGTCTCAAACCTGTGAGCTCAAGCAGTCTTCTCGCCTCGGCCTCCCAAAGTGCTGGAATTACAGGTTTGAGCCGTCATGCCCATCCATGAACTGCTTCTTAATTCACTACGAAAATTGAAGCAAGCAAAAGATAACTTCCATACACTCCCATCAGTACAAATAAGCCATCAACCCACATCTTCACCTACTTCTATGACTTTTATACCTGGCACTATGGATCAACTACCCATGTTCCTATCTAAGTCAGTTATTTCCATTTGTTTTGTACATTGTATTTTCATTTGCCTAGGAATTCTTTTACTTCAGAAAATTTCCTCTCTCTTTTCTATATTATATTTTCACTCTCTGCTAATTATTCCCATTAGCACCTTAAAAAAACCTTTGTTTATGGAGGGGAAAAAACCCCTTATTTCCCACCTATTATTCTTTTTAGCTCTACTTTCTCATGTCTTGTTCTTTTTTGAACCAAAACATCTCCATAGAGTTGTCTCTACTTACCACCTCCATCTCTTTTCCTCCTAGTCTCTCTCTTTAAAATATTTTTATTGGATTATTTAGCCGGGCTTGGTGGCTCAGCCTGTAATCCCGCACCTTTGGGAGGCTGAGGTGAGTGGATCGCCTGAGCCCGTGGGTTCGAGACCCGCCTGGGCAGCGAGACCTCATCTCTACAATAAATCAAAAAATCAGCTGGGCGTGGTAGCGCATGCCTGTAATTCCGGCTACTTGGAAGGCTGAGGTGGAAGGATCACTGGAGCCCAGCAGGTCGAGGCTGCGGTGGCCGGTAGCGTCCACTGCACTCCAGTCTGGGCGACTGAGTAAGACTCCAACTCAAAAAAAAAAAAAAAAAAAAAAAATTTTTATTGGCCAGGTGTGGTGGCTCATACGTGTAATCCCAGCACTTTGGGAGGCTGAGGGAAGAGGATTGCCTGAATCCAGGGGTTTGAGACCAACCTGGGCAACTTGGTGAGACCTTGTCTCTACAATAAATAAAAAAATTAGCCGGGCATGGT